TTTTTGCACTACCATTAACCACCATGACTCACGTCAATGGAGAGAAGCTGTGTTTGACCCAGAGTTTTGGTGGTTTCACACTGAGCTGCATGAGTGGAACTGAGGAGAGGTCAACGACAGCTTTCCCAGTCTTCAGTGGGTCAAAGGTCACAGGACCTTTGCCCTCGTCACTGTCTTTGTTGTAAATCGTATTTGCTCACGGTCATGTGACGTGACAACAGTGTGTGTGTGCACAGGTGTGTGAAGAGAGGATAAAGACAGAGAGCGAGAGAGAGTGTGTGTTTTTGGAAGTTTCTGCGCTTTTCGCCGAGAACTGCTGGTCTGTGATTGCACATCGGGATTTTTTTTCTTTAATTATTATCATTTCTTCCAGTGAGTATGCACTAGTTTCTCGAGCTTCTCGTCTCCCATGTTCTTTGACGGGACGCAAACACCCACACTTAATCCAAAAGTCGAAAGCCTTTTTTTTTTTTTTTCACTTTATTTTGTACGTGGTTTCTTTAAATCTGCATTTTAAATAATTGGTGATTTTGTATTTTACCTGTAAATGTCTTTTTTTATTATTATTATTATTGTTTACGTGACATGCCTGTTGAGTTGTGCCTGACTCTGGATGAAGAACCACACAACTTCCTGGATCCGGATTTGACCTCAAAATAATGTATAGAGGTTTTGTTTTTTCGTTTTTATTGGTAGCAGTGACATTTTGTTGCAGAGAGATTTTTTTTTTTTTTTGCACATTCTTGATGTGACATCCATCAATGCTGTGAGTAAAACCAATGCCCAGAGTCAAATGACTTTGACTCTGGGCATTTCACACCATCTTAGTTCACACTCTGTTCTGAGTGCCTGCTCAGATTGCTCCCCCTGTGGTTTACTTAGCAATTACAGTTGTTGGACTGTGTCACCTTCTCTACACAGTCACAGGTGGTAAAATGCAGATTTACAGTTTAGTACCTGAAGCCAGGAGCATAATTTAAGCTGTTAGGCTCTGAGTTAACGTCATGATGCAGGTGATGTTTTTTTTTTTTTTTTTTTACACACGTGTGTTTGTTTACATTTGATGCACCTGCCCTTTTTCCCAGCAACGTTCATTTGTGTTAAATAGCATGCTAACAATGCTAACTGACCGAGCTGTCAGTCTGGTTCCTGAAACGTCAGCAGTCACCTCACACTTTAAAACCAGTTTCAGTAAAAAGTTGCTTGATTTTTATTTATTTTTTTCAAATGCAGTTCAAATTAACGTCCTGTAATTTGGTCAGGCGAAAAAGACAAACAGGAAAAAGATGTCAGCATTTTAAATAACTTGGTGAGTTCCAAATGCTAAACTTATTTTTAAATGTAAACAAACAATTCACTCGAAATTGGAATTTTGAAAAGAGAAGAGTTACCCCAGGATCACATCTGGCCTTTTTTCAAAGTCATTTTTCCAGGGAGAAAGGATCGTCGTTACAGGTTTTAACCAGATTGTGTTTCGGCCCATGTGTGCAGAGTCATTTTAAACCGCACACAGATCTGGACTGCAGGCAGGACAGTCACACAAATTCTATTTCTGCAAAGCAACACTTTCGTGATACATGCTAAAAAAAAAGAAAAAAAAAGCTCTGTATTTTGAGCAAGGAAGGTACTTTTTTTCTTTTTTTTAAAGTTTTTTTTTAAGTTAAGACCTCAGATGTTGTGTTCCGCAGAAGCTAAAATGTGACCTTGTTTGACCTCAAAATGAACTGGGGCCTAGAAACCCATGTCTACCATAATGTCTAAACTAACCATGATTTCCTCCAATCCAGTCTCTGTACTGGAGTCTAATGGTGGTACAATATTA